GGAGTTGGAATATAGATTTGTAATTGGCTGGCTAGTTAGATTTATTTAAGTAGTAGATTACTAGATATTAGCTAATGAGGAAATGGTATGGAAGTATTGGTTTTGTGAACTTAAGAGATGAATGAAGTTTTAATTGTAAGTAATGACCCACACAATACCAATTCAAATACATTTGGGAAAAAATTAACTTAACTGGCTTTTCCGTAGAAGATTTTATTGAAAATGACTCTTTGTGGCAGAATACTCATCTGACTGCTGCTGTCTTAACCACATACCTACCCGGTTGTCTCCAGTGTGCCTTCTCCACAGCTCTAGGCAGTTCCCTGCAAGGAAGGCCATGCAGCTTATAACTATTGCCTTGTCTTTTGCACTCAACTTTCTATTTCCAAGGGCATAAAACTTTGGAAACATTATAAGTAGAATTTTATCAGGAAAAGCTTGGGTTCCTCTGTCTACTAAGCTGCACTCTGATATTTAATCCTTTACAGTTCATTTCATTCCATTTCTTCTCAAAATGAATCAAACATTTTACAATCTGTCATCACAAATTAACAAGTAGTGCTCTTAAGTCAAAAGTAAAGAAGCTTGATCTTTTTTTTAAGCCGTTGATATGTGATTTCTTTTAAACTTTTGGGAATGTTAAGTCTTAGCCCCTGAAACTTTGAGGTATTCCAGGTCCCAAACTCTACAATAAAATTTCATTTAACCTGGTCTCCATTGATTCAACCTTTTAATTAAGAATTTGAAAATATATGTGTGGAGGGGAAGAAACAATGCTTGGTTCCTAAGATCGTTATAAATTACGGAAAAGCCTAGAAATCAGAATTTTGGTGACAAAAATAGTCCCAAAGATAAATCTGAGTGGGCACACGTGGTAATGTGCTGTTCCTCCAGCCACCTATCTGATGTGCACCCACTGGTGTCCATCCACCCACGTATCTAGAGTACAGCACAGTGAACATTCCTGCTGATTATAGGCCATTATGCCTCTTAACACTTTGAGATTCTACTTATGGAAGAATTCATTCAGCATCTTTACACTAAAATGCAAGAATTTCTGATTTGCTTTCTTTGTAGGAATAGCACAGACAATAGGTTTCCATGCCTCAGTAAACTGGGAAGACAATTTTATCTACTGATTGCCCACTAAATTTAGATTCTACGTAGAATATAAGGAACATAAAATGAGGTCCATATCTTAAGTGCTTGCAAGTTTAATTGGGAAGACAAAGTACAAGTTAAATAGTGATATAAGAAATAAACAGTAACAGAGGAACTCTTTCAATTAAAATTTTGCCATGTAGTTGTGTAGCTTGTATGAGGTGTTTATATACCCATGTGTACATGTATACAAGAATTTACAGGTTCTTGTAGTGAACTTCAAGACCCTTCTACCATCATGATCATTTTGTCTTTTGCTGTTATACTAAGGTTTATATTCCACTGATAGCAAGCTCGTTATGCTGATAATGATTGTGGCTGCCTATCATAGGAGCTGAAAGGAGTGAGGATAAAATCTCTTCATTCACTGAATGTAAACAGGATTTAGTTTTTGATCTTTGCTTCTGTATTCCAAGTCTTACAAAGTTAAGTCTACCTCTTAAATCGAGGATTGGCTTAAAGTCTGAACAAAGTAATTTTAAAGGACATAACCAATGTAATCATGAGAAATTGATTTTGTCTATTGTCTTGAAATGTTCCTTTGTCGTCGTTAGACCAACCATCTTTAATCAATGAATCCTTATACTACAGTTAGTACTTAGTCTGTGTTTTGTTTTAACCATCTGATTTTTGTTCCAAATGATTTTGCTGAGTGGTGGTTGCTTGGGTATCTTGCCGGCAGGTGGTCATGCCATAAGACCCATTTATTGGTAAACGTGATGTTGTGTCATTGTATGCTGGAGCTTCATTATTGGTTTTTGACGCTATCCAGAAAAGTGGGATGTGAGCACTGATTATGTCATTCAAAAAGCAAGGTATAGCTAGTCATGGTGGCATACTATGTATCCCAGCTACTTGGGAGGCAGTGGCAAGAGGACTGTGAGTTTGAAGCCATCTTGGGCAAAGGTAGTGAGATCTTTTGTCAAAAACAAAATTAAAAAAACAAAAAGAGCTGGGGGCAATGCTTAGGTGGTAGACTGCTTACCTTTAGCAAGTTCAAAGCTCTGGGTTTAATCCCCAGTAGTGAGAAAAAAAGAAAGGAGCAGGTAGGTCTGAGATATTTTGATTTATGCCTTGCAGACCTGAAGAAGTGCAGATAGAAAATACCATTGGTTTACAGCTTTTACAGGTGTTCTGTGTGAAACCTGATTTTAAGCTGTTATGTTATCTGATGGCTGAAAGTGCATGTTAGCTCCCCACATTTGGTTTCCCTCCTATTGCTTGTTTTAAGCAGCAGAACTTGTAGCAGTCTTAGGTCTGTTTCACAGCTTGTTGCTCCCATCAAATCTTCCACATCAATGTCTGCTTTCAATAGACCTCCCTATGAAGGAAAACATGGTAGATGTCCTCTGGTGTTCCTTCAACCCATTACTCAGCTATTACCTCACTTTCTGGAACTTCCTGTCATGTCTTCTAGACCATTCTATATTCTCCTAGCTCTTTAGAATATATCTTAATATCTACCTCTCCCCAAACTCAACAAAACTATTTTCATGAAGTGATAAATAACCAGACACGCTTCTGTGCAAATATATTAGTCTTTTTCATTCTGCTTCTAACCGTCTAACCAAGAGTCTATAAAACGCCCGGTGGTGTCGTGTACCCCAGCCACAAGTATGCTAGATTTCTAGCCATTACTTCAGTATTCTCTAATAACAGTGGCTGAACACACCAAGAAAATGATCATGTGAGGGTTACATCTGCTATCCCAAACCACCTTTTGTGTATTTCCTATAGCGAAGTCATGTATCGTGTAGCTTTGTGATGAACTTTTTGATATTTTGAAGGAGATGGAAGAGTAATAAGTCCTTTGCCCCGTAATAAATCATCATGCATCTCATCCACAACAAACGTGACAGAACTGTGTGGGCTGGAAGTGAAAACCGCCACGGGCTCCTTATCGGCATTCGGAGACTCCTCCATGCAGACGCCTTCCAAGTCCAGGATCCGGCAGGGCTGCCACAGTGCTGGCCCAGATGTGTCTGGTAACAAGGGCTCTCCTCCCAGTGCTCAGAGCCAGAGTCAGAAAGGGGTGAAGGTAGCACTCAAGTAGTTCTGTATTTTCAACCAATCTGCAAGGCAAGGGGAAAATTACACACACAGAACATGTAGTTTAGGTTTGAGGAGGAAAGGAAAAAACTCAAACTTAGTAACAAATTTCGAATACAGAAAGTTATGGAAACTTCCTAGAAAAGATATTGATAGGTGCCAAAGTTTTCCAAATATAAACCAACTTTAGAGCTTTATCCTGACTTAATCAAGTAATTTGAACATCATTTTCAATAGGGGACCACATTAATCTAGTGAGCTCATCGATGCCTTCATTCCCTATTCTCCAACGTTCTTCGGAAGAGAAAATCCTTTACTCTGACAGACTGACCCTAGAAAGGTAAGAACACATTCTTTTATTTTTTGACTAAGTAATATATAGATATGGTGTAAGATTTAAAAGATGTGAAAGTCTCCCTTCATCCCTTCTCCTAGTCCTCCTTCCTAGATGTAATAACTTTTACCATTAATTACCTAGAGGTGTGGTAATGAAAATTCATATTTTATATCTATATGTAGAAGGACTTGACTATATTTCAAAGGAGTACTATAGTAATTCTAAAATATGATTGTGTTAGTCAGCTTTGCATTACTGTAACAAAGTACCTGAGCTAGTCAACTTAAAAAGAGAAAAGGTTTATTTTGGTTCAGAGTTTTGAAGATTTTGGTTGTGGTCACTTGGCCCATTGCTTTTGGGCCTGTGGCAAGGCCTTACATTGTGGTGGAAGTATATTGTTTGGGTAGAGCAGGCTGCTCACCTCTTGGAGGCCAGCTGAGAAGTAAAAGAGGGTGAGGTCCCAATTCCCTTTCCAAGGCCATCCCCCACTGACCTAAGACCTCCCAAAAGGTCCCACCTCCCATTGGCTCCACTACCTTCCAGTAGTCCCACAGGCTGGGCCTCTGGGGGACTGTTATTTAAACCACAGCAATGACATTGATGAAAATGGACTTTTGAGTAGCGAAAAGCCTTTACGATCTAGTCCTCACATGGGCTTCCAGGACCCCACCCAAGCTAGTTCCCTGTCATCATCCCATAACTACCTCCCGGCTACCCTTTGGATACACCAAGGGTCTTATGCTGTGGAGCTTTGGTACCTGATGTTCCCTTTCCCCAGAATGCTGTTCCTTCACATGTCTGTGGGCTCACTCCCTACCTCCTACAGGTCTTTCCTTACATGTGTACATCTCAAACAGTGGGATCCCTTTCAGCCTGACATTCCTTAGCCCCTGTCGTGGCTTTATTTTCCTCCTTAGCACTTACCATCCTGTAACCTTAAATACTTCCCAATGTTTATTATCTCCTCCTACTAGAATGTAATATGTCCACAAGCACTGGGACTTGTTCAGTTCTGTATCTCGGGCACAGAACAGAACCTGGTACAAAATAGGCTCTTGATTGAAAAAAAAAAGTGAATGATTGAGTCTATTCAGGACTCCTTTATCCCCATCTTTTTATATAAGAAGATATCCATAATAGAATGGTGGATGAAGGATCCCAACCCTACCCTGGTAGTATAGTCAGCACAGAAATCATCCCTGCTCTTCACACCTTTACCTTACCTGACAACAAGCTGTAACGGACAGACTGTGTTGGTAGTCAGGGAAAATGGTCTCTGGAGGGTCTGCTGTGCTGTTTAGAAGGCCAAGTTACACTTGAGGGTGATACTCCCTCTCAGCATTTTGCGAGATTAAGCAGTCTTGAGATTACAATACTACCTCATATTTATAGCTTTCATAATGCCATTTAATGTTTTGAGGGATTTTGTGGTAATTTCTCCTTCATAATTTAAGAGTCCAGGCAAGAATAACACCTCAGTTTCATGCTACTTGATATTAACAGGAACCAGTAAGTTTGTGACATAACAAGTTAGGTGCTTCCGTTGTTCTTTGGGGTGACTGGGGCAGCTGTGAAGATGGGAACATGGTGGCATGGGCCTCTAGGGTGGAGAAACAAACGTTGATCAGGTAGACCCTTGCTTATCAAGAAAGTTGGGACCAAGAGAACAGACTCTGTCTTCCAAGGCTGGTTGTGAAATGATAGCATCACAAGACTCCATTACCTTAGGCACAGTGAGGCTCAGGTGTGCAGTCAAGGAAGCTATACCAGTAGTAAGATACGAACTTAGGAGTCATTGAGAGCCAGTGGGTGATGACAGGGACTTCTGCTGTGTGGTGTGGGGTCAAGAGCAGAATCTGTCTCTGAGAAGTACTTGGAAGAGCAAGTCCCTGGCTGCTCTTGGAGTTATTTGGGCTGGAGCACTAGGAAGGCAGCCTCTCAATGCCAAGAAGAACAGAAACCAAAGCATGGTCAGTGCACATGGCTGCAAGGGAAGTTGCAACTCAAGGCTGTATGAGGCCCAGCTCCATTGCTTATTGGTTTTGGTGGAGTGACAGTGATTCACAGAGACTGAGCCATTGTGTTTGGAATCCAAGAAACATGACTTTATTTGAAGCCATGACAGTTTATCTAAGGGGAGGGTAGGATGTTATTTAGTTTCCTTTTCAGTGATAACTCAGTAATTCAAGAATTGGATGAAATGGAAGTTGGGGTTCTCATTAAGTTTAATTGTGAGAAACGGAGAAAGACCAAAGCAAGAAAAATGAAGCAATTCAAGGTTTTGCTAAGCTGGTGCACAAAAACATAAGATTTAAACTAGAATACTTATAATTAATTAATTTATAACTTACATATCAGAAGTACCAACTGTGAAGGTATAATGTAATACATGAAATTAATTCCAAGTATTATTCATACTTTAAAAGGATTGAACTATTGCCTGACCTTTTTTACTTCTGTTTTAAACTTCAGGGACTGTTTTAAACATCATCTTTTGTCAACCATTAATGTTCGCTTATTTTTTTTTTTTGGCCAGTCATTCTTTTTTCATTATAAGGAGGGTTCTGATTACTTCCATAGTTCACTTATGCTTGTAGTGCTCTTACTTTCTTTAAAGCTTACATCAACTTGGTTGTTACTAAGAGAAGATACTTCTAATAAACCTCTTAGAACTGTTTGCACACACAACTCCTCTGAAGCTCTCAGACTAGTCTATCAGTACCTCCTGTCTAGCTATATTATTGTATTGGTAAACTTCTTAAAGAGCCTTGCACTTCGTTGCCTTATATTTGATACACTGTAACTTTTTGCATACAAGAGGCTTACTGTTTTAAATGCAAACATTGTTAAGGTTTCAACCTACACTGTGACACTCTAAATTTTCTGCAAAGTTCAGTGTTGAATGTGTAGACTTGACATCTAAGTCTCTGAAGACATGTTCCTTAGGGACCTCCTACCACTGAGGAATTTCAGGATGAAGTTTTTTTTCATCAGAATGAATGGTTGGTGGCTGAATCTTTTTGCATTGTGAAAATTGCATCCAGCTCATGAGTCTCTGATTCTAAAAGAGACCTTTTTATATGTTTTTTGCTCTGATGACTTAGTTGCCTGTGCCATCTTTACATCAGTGTGTAATGCCAAAGGCTTTTCTCTGCTTATGTCCCAGGGTTCTTTCATGCATCTAAACTTCTGTCACAGGGCTGGGGGCATGACTCTGTGGTAGAGCACCTGCCTAGCAAGCATTAGACCCTGAATTCATACCCCAGAACTGCCAAAAACCAAACAAATAAAACTAAGGGGTAAATCTCTATGACAGAAGGCAATTACATTTGAAGGTTTTCGGATGTTAAGTCAATTTCATGTGAAATAATTGATATTGGAGGTGAGAGCTTAAACTTAATTACCCTTGTCAAAGTCTATTGACTTTTTTTGTGCATGATTTGCCATAAAATACAGGGCACATAGTGTATGGGAACTGAAAGTGATCCAATTTATCTTTTTCTTTTCACAAGATGGGAGCACACAGATGCCCATAATAATATTTGGAAGAAGAGGCAGGCTGCTGAATCAGAGTCTTACTAACCTTTGAACATTGTTCCTAGGCAAAAGCTGACTGTGTGTCCTATCATCAATGGAGAAGAACACCTTCGTTTGCTCAACTTTCAACACAATTTTATAACTCGAATCCAAAATATTTCTAATCTACAGAGGCTAATATTCTTGGACTTATACGATAACCAAATTGAAGAAATTAGTGGGCTTTCTACTCTGAAATCACTCCGTGTCCTTCTGTTGGGGAAAAACAGGTATTTTTGTAGAACAGTTTTGTTTGTAGTCTAACATCATACATAGGACTAATGTTGAGCCCTGTGATATTTACATGGCAACTCAGAACTGAATACCTAAGAAACTATTAGGCTAAAATTTTGAAAGATTGTTTAAATGGATTAAAATTCAATTACTTTTTATGAGATCCAGTCTGGCGATATTTAACCCAAGTTACATTTATTGAGTGTTTTCTTGCCATTGCTTTTCAGTGCCATATCTGATGCTGAAGTACATGGCTTTGGCCTTAACTTTGTGTTTCAGCATGTGTGCTCACTGAGGCTTGCAGTATCAGCTGCCATCCTCCTGGTGTTTGACTGGGGGTGGTCCCTTGCTCCTTTGTGATTCTTTTCAGATGGTGGAATCAGTAGGTATTATTTAGTGTTACACTTTGTATGTATACTTCCCCAATCCCTGTTACACAGCTGTCCTGTAGTGCAGCTGCACAGTTCCCAACTCATTTGTCAGGTTTATTCATGACTTTCTCTTCATTCAGATTTATTGAATGACTTTTGTGAAATGAGGTCAGGGTGTTCAGGCTACTTTCTAGGAAAAGAGCGATTCTGCCAGTGTGATGGTGAGAGAGGAGACTGATGAGGAGGTTGTAGCCGTGGCAAGTATGATGTGTTTATAAGGCAGAGAGGAAGAAGTACAACCATGCAGTGATGATGCATGGAGGTTATGATAAATATTCATATAAATTGTTGTTCTGGCAATGATGTAAGATGACTGAGATCAAGAAGAGGTAGAGATCCATCAAGTTTAAGTCTGTGTTAGCTTACGTGACTATTATCAGCACATGTATGAAGGTTCAAGAGTCAGAGTCTGCAAACCTTAGGAAGGTGGAAATGGTTCTTTGAGAAAGTCAATAATGACAACAGAAATAAGTAGTGATGGGCACATGATGATAAGGATGGTTGTACACACACATGTAAGTGGAAAAGAAGCAATGTTTAAAACTCTTCTGGGCTCAGACAAGTGGGACCACCTGGTCTTGGACTAGTGCTACTGTCTGGCTTCTTGGTTTGCAGCCCTATAGGCTGGAATAGTGTCACTGTAGTCATGGGCAAGTCACAAGCACAGAGTAGATGACAGAAGCATCAGGCAAAGGGTGGTGTGAGGTGAAAGCAGTTTCTGTTCAGTTGACAGACTTCGGGGACACTGGAAGGAAAGCCCAGCAATGAGTCACACCGTGTGGAGAAGGCCACAGGCTGCACAGCCTAATGCCCCCAGGGAAGCTGAAGGGTTATCTTGCTGTGCAAGAGCAACCCATGCTGCACTGCTGGACAAAGACAATCTTCCCACCTAGCAGTGTAGAAAGGGCAAGCGTTTGCTTTAGGCAGGCAGCTACAGGAAGGGCATTTTCTCCCTGGGAAGGAGATCATTGATAGGACAGTCTGCTTGAAGCACATCTGTGTCTTCTGGAAGCATCCCTAAGAAAACCAACACAGCATCTGGGTCAGGAACCAGTCAATGGCTCACATCCCTCTGGAGTCTCCTCTGCTGACATCTCAATTGCTTGGTCTTGATCTTTCTACCTTCAAATGCTTACTCAGCTTCCCCTTATTGTATCCTGTCTGCCGCCACCACATGTCACCACGATTGCTGCGATGTTTAGCTGAGACTTGAAAAATGTGAAGGTGTGAGCCATGTGAAGTTTTAAAAAAACACTGAGACCAAAGAACAGCAAGGACAAATGCCCTGAGGCAGAAATGTACTTGTCAGGTAGGAGTGCAGTAAGAATTCCCTGCAGCTGCAACAGCAAAAAAATGCAAGAGAGCAGCTGTAACAAGCCGGCAGGCAGTCAGAGGGCTCAGTGCCTCAAGGCAGAAGAATGGTGTTAGAGTGTATCCTAGGGTGAAGGTAGCTGCCCTGATGAGGCCTTGGTTTAAGGTTCTCAGAAGTAGAATCACTTTTCTCTAAAGAAAGGATGTTTATGCTCCCTTTCCCCTACTGGCACTGCATATTCAAAATTATAACTAAATAAAATATATTACAAGTTCATCTACAACTCTGTATACGTGCATAGAGAGGAATAGGGAGTAAATTAAAATACTAAAATGATTATGCCTTTACACCTCAGCACGCTTCAATTACTGACAGATGTGACATCCGTATTTCTACTCAACTATTATACCTATTCTCATTTTCAGAATCAAGAAGATCTCAAATCTGGAGAATCTGAAACTCTTAGATGTCTTGGATCTTCACGGAAATCAGGTATTATAAAGTTCCTTTCTTTCTTTCTTTTTGAAAATACGTCTAGGAAATTGGATGCAAAAGTTTTTCTTTTTCGCTGGTGGAGTGGCTGAAATGGTAGAGTCCCTGCCTATCAAGTGTGAGGCCCTGAGTTCCAACCCCAGTACTGTCACATTAAAAAAAAAAAAAGTAGAAAAGTTTTTCTTTCTCTTTCCTTCTTTTTTTTTTTGTAGCAGTAATAGGGTTTGAACTCAGGGTCTTGGGCCTGCTATGCAGACATTCTACTACTTGAGCCATGCCCCCAGTCCTTTTTTCTTAAGTTTATTTTTCAGACAGGATTTTGCATTTTTGTTCTGCTGGTCTTGAAAGAAGATCCTCCTACCTAGGCCTCTGGAATAGCTGAGATGGTAGGTGAATTCCACCATGCTCAGTTTATTTCTTGAGATGAGGATCTCTCTAACATTTGTCTTTCTAGCATTTGGGTTGTCCTCAAATTGTGATCCTTTTGACCTTTGCTCCCAAGTAGCGGGGATTACAATGATGAACCACTGCACCCAGCCTCAATAACTTACTTTAAAAATCACATTATGTAACCCTGCTCAAGATATAGAATATCGCTGATTTTCTTCTACTTAGGCATTTCTCCTTTATTCCATTCCCTTACTTCTTCATCAGAAGTAACCACTGTTTTACATCTCACTCTTATCATTCCTTTGTGGAATTTTTAGTTAGATTTATCAGACTAAGGAGTTGCTGTTTTATAGCACACTATTTTAAAAGCTATAACTATAAATGAAACTTTATGGTAGCAGTATTTTTCCTAAGTTTATTTTAAATTATACATATATGAGAAATAATAAACCTGTTTATATGGTTTTTAATTTATAATATGCTTTTAGCTGGGTCTGTGTCTCAAGTGGCCGGAGTGCCTGCCTAGCAGTTACTACTGCCCTGAGTCCAGACCCCAGTACCACCGAAAAAAAGAATCGCTAGGCACTATCCCGGATCTTACAGTGCACCTGGCAAGTGAACACTGTAGTTCAATCTGTGTATCTTATGGTCATTATTTACCAGCCATTATGTGGATGAAAAATGCTGCATTCCTTGTTAACTCAATTGTTATTTGATGAAATTTACTTCAGATATTTACTGTGTTACATTTCAAAACAGGATCCTTTAGATAATTCTCACTGGTTAAATAACTTCGTATTATCCACAACAGAGGAAATTGGTTATAGATCTTAAGTGTCTTCATATTTAGTAACATATAAACTTGCCAGTAAATCTAATGACTTTGAATATCTTATTTTTACAGTGTTAATTAACGTGTATGTATGAGATACACTAATCACCCCTCCCTATTTTTGAACAGATCACCAAAATTGAAAATGTCAATCACTTGTGTGATTTGAGAGTTCTAAATCTTGCTCGGAACCTTTTAAGTCATGTTGACAACCTTAATGGGCTGGATTCCCTGACGGAACTGAACCTGCGGCACAATCAGATCACTCTTGTGGTGAGTGTGCGAGTAGTGTCCAGATGAGCCTCTGGCTTTTCCTGTATGGAATGACACGAAGGTTACAGGGTTGCTTCATGCAAAGTCAGAATCTAAGGTTATTTACTTTGCTCTGAATTTAAAGTGTAGATACAATTATTAAGCTTTGTAATGTGTTGACTTGAGAAGTTATAAGGTGTTTTCCATTTTAAAGGATGAGTATAAAATAAGAAACAATTTGGTGCTGTCACAAAGTGAATCAGCTAGTGTAGATGAACACTGAATCCTTTCTGTTTGTGTATATAAAATTAGAAAGAAAGAAGGTTGTTAGTGAATAAAGTCTAGGAATTGCTGCATCAAGAAGGAGAAGAGAAGCTGAGGGATGGGGTCCCTGTTGTTGTACCTTGTTTTAAAGAGGCTGCTTGAAGTCATGGAAGGATGCTGTGCAGGCCTCAGAGGCCAGTTCTGTCTCAGCTTTACTTCTGAGTAGTTGTGTGACTTGGGGTCAATCCCTGAGCCTTGGTTTAGGGTCTCCTAAAAACGAAGGCATTGGGCTGGGGGTTTTTTGGGTTTTTTTTTTGGCTTGTTGACACTGAAAAAAATAAAAAAGCATACAGGCATCAGAGAAGTAACGTGAGCTGGAGGAGGAGTTAGATTGTGGGGTAAAACTACAAAGAGTTCAGAGGGCTCTGAACTCTGACAAACTGATTAAGTGCTTTATGGTTTGCTGTAGGTCATCAACTAAATAGCAACCCGGTTCTGAGGTGTTTTGTGTTTGTACATGGGTGGAAAGGCCTAAAAATCTAACTGCCCAGTGGTGAGATATAACGTAAGCTAGGAGGACATACAATGACTTAGCAAAACACCTGTTCTTTTAACAAGTTTCCTTTGCTTAAATACTATAGGACAACTGCGTTAGGTTTTTTTGGTATCAGTTAAGCCCTTCTAAAGGCTCATTCTAACTCAACTCTTTCAAGATATTGAGTTCCTTAATAATGATTGGTTTCATTCTGAAGTTTTCTTAAAAAAATCAAGCTAGAAGACTCATGTCTTCTGGGAGGTTAGAATAATTTCAGTGCTTTCTCCCAGAATGGATTGATTCCATAATTTCTAAATTGTGTCAAGCCCTATCCAGATTGTATAGGAATATTGGAACAGGGCTATTTATTTTAAAAGACATCCAGAATAGATTAATCTGCTCTGTTGCTCGATTCCCAGAAAGCACTCAGCCAGGGTCCTGACCTCAGGTAGGGATCCAGAAAGCTTTGCAGTGATGGGTAGCAGAAGTCTATTAGCCCAGCACATTCTCCTGTGTTTTGGCTTCATTTGGAAAGTACATAATGCATGTCCAGGAAACTGCTCACCGAGCTCCCTGATTAGTGTTGCCTTTTAATCATTGCTGTTACAGGCTAAGTAGCAGTAACATATCAGGGAAAAGGAAATTATATCAGTTTCTCAAACTTAAAAAGACAGTAGTAAGTGCCATGTATATATCTTGCAGTGATAAGTGTAATGCATATTGATTACATGAAATTGTGAATATACAGATAAGGATAAACAAGAAACTTCATC